AGCACCCTACGCAAGGCTTGGCCCAGTAATCTGGACATATTGTTTACAAAGTAGGTGACCATGACTCTTACCCTGGTGACTTAAGCCCTTTAACTTGGCGCTTTTTCTTTCCATTTCCCATACTGTACAGCTGGTTCCCACATTCCCAGAAGAGCGAAAATGTGCTCCTGAGTCAAGCTCTCTTCCTTAGCAATAGTAGAGCTTGACTCAGGCATCTCTGTGTGTATCTGGACGCTTGCCAGCTTCCCAGTTGGACATAGCCTTGTACATCTTTGTACAAGTCCACTGTTACATTGTACAACATCCTACTACATCAGGAAAACCCTCCTGAGCTAATTAGACATAATTTAGACATAATTCTGTATGATGATGAAAAATCCTTCTTATGTGTATAATTGCTGTATAATCCAGAATGACCAACAGCTAATCTACATGACCACTTCAGAAGAAGTAATGTACATTTATTAGGAACTCCTGTAACACAGTCCTTTGTCAATGTGTTCGTGCGGATCCTTGCGACTGTCTGCGTGCATCCGGCAAGCGATGTTTGCAGTTGTAGTGGTGGGGCGAGGATGCAAAGTGGTTTAAGGGATTGTTACATACCTTGCATAGTGCCCGTCCCATTGTATGCCACCGTACAAGGCTCATCCTGCTGCAGCTTGTGTCATATGCAATGGCCGGTGTTCATGGGCTCAAGTCGGCATTCAAGTTCATCTTCACGTTGACTGGGACATGCTTGCTCTTCATATTAGCTACACTACCTGGGCATCCAAGTGACAGGTAGTTGTTCCTGTGTCTAGTTATTTAATTCAGAATGTATATGTCCCAGATGAATGCATGTACTTCGATCTGCCTTCTCTGACATATCCAACATGCCATCCGCCTATATACTCCATAGCACTAGGCTCTAGGCTTGTTGGCATCCCTTGCAGTCATCGTGACATCCTCCACGTCCTCTGCAGCAGATACGGAAACTTGTAAGTGCGCGCGAGACTTACAGAATGTCCCATTGCAGTGAGAAAACGTAGAGTTAGACAATTAAAATGTCCGTTGAATAGATTAGCAAATCTTCGCACTGCAGTCTGCAGGGCCCCAGTCACGTAAGTACATAGCAGGAGCTTGGGTCGGGGTTGAGAAGCGTAGCCCAAGAGGCAGCTATAAATGGTCACCGGTCGAGCTCCAGAGTCCTGACAGACTTAGCGCCTTTTCCTCAGAGCCCGGTCATTCAGTTACAAGTAACCGGTCAAGTGACTTTGTTGATACCGCATTTTGAACTCCAATTCAATTCGCCATGTTCAACATTTGTGTTCCACTTACCCTGTTTTTTTCCCCCTCGCTGGCTCGCTTGCCGTCGTCTCCGTTCATGTCATTCGCTTGCTCACACATCGGGCTTTTTTGGTTCTATAGCTTCATGCCTCTGACTCGGGTGCTAACCTGCCCATACTCCTAGGGTTTGACTCACGCAGAGCGTTGCATGTGGGTTCTCTGGTAAGTTTGATTGGTTCAGTCATGTGCGATGTACCGCAAAATCTCATGATGATAGGTTGCTTTGATGGCTACGAGGCCCATCCCTCGGTATTCGGGATCCCCACTCTCATTGACAATACCCACCTTCAGTGCGATGGCAATACAGAACTGCCTGAATTGGTACGTTATTTGTTCAATGCAGTGCAGGTCGGGCACAACTCAACCCCCTCCTCTTCTTGCATGCTACATACCCTCATGCCCTTCAGCCCTTACACCCCCACTGAGTAGCGGGGCCTTGCGCACAGCCAGTCCTTCCACGATAAAGTCGCGGGCTACTACCTTGAGCCTTGAGCAGAGCACGCAGCTGCAGATGCTTGGGGACAGCTGGTGGATTCACTCGTGGCCTGCTCGTGTGGGTCTACGAGAACCTCATGAGCTGGATGGATCGGTATGTACTCAATGTTGTTGTGCTACTGCTGTGGGCACTGATGTGCCCTTATTTGTGCTACCCCCGCTCTGGGTTGCATATGTATGCATCTGTGCATGACAGCCATCAGGTCATCCAGTCCACATGTGTATCATGCGCGGCGCCGCGCTTCGCAGAACATGTGCCTGTCATCTGTCTCGATCTCGCGTGAGTTGTTGTTCCATGCACTGTATGCCAATGGCTGATGATTCTGTATAGTAGCTTCAAGCTTGTGTGTTCTCACATCTGAATGATCTGCCATATGGCCGCTTTGTCAGTGTCTTGCTTGTCCTGATATCTTCAAATGGGGCTGTTTCTAGCCTGCTTTGTGGGGAAAGTGATGGGCTGATGAAGGCAGGGAGACAGTAGTTACTTGCCTGTCTGTAGCTACATTATGAATATATCTCAATACTCTTTCTGGCATCCCCAGACTTGATGTAATATGAGTGAGAATTGCAATATAACTGCTGTCTCACAGGAGATGATGCTGTCTAATGAGCAATAATTATATCTAATTAGCTAGGGGACAAACCTAACTTGTATAATTAGACAAAACTGGATAATGCAGCTAATCCTGCATAATTATACGGGATTAGACATGATCAGACATAATTAGCTTAGGGTTTTCCTGATGTATGGGCCAGGCCAAGGATTTGTACACAAATATTGGAGACTACTATTGAATCAGATGCCGAGAAGTTATGAGAATCATTTTGTATAGTCACCCATACAAGTTTGAGTATCAATGTCTGATTCTATGTCTGACTACAAATTGACTGCAAAATGAGTTTTGTAGTGTTTGTTACACTTCCATTTATCCCTCACTTAGCATGGATGCTTCATAATTTTGAGCTTCTCAATATAAGCTTTTGACTATGTTATGTGTGTACCAAAATATTTACCTGCTTTGCAGGGCATTGTGCCATGCTCTGTGGTCTCACATCATCACAGGCCCTTTGTCATCATGGGAATTGACTAGGTGCAGCAGTTGAAGGTGCAGTGCTGGGGTTCTCAATGCACTGGTTAGGATTGGAGCACTTTGATTGGCTCCCGTATTGCTGTGGCATGCTAGTCTGTGTGATTTAGGTACTTGGGTCCTTTTGTTGGATGTGCTTTATGGCTACATCATGTACTCAGTATAGGAAGGTAGGTTTGCCTGTAATGTGTTTGATTCTGTGCTCAAGGCAGAAATGTACATTGAATGGAAAACTATCACATATCAACACAAATAATTATATTGATGAAAAGATGTGCTTGAGTAATATATCCCAGGCAGTACTACAAAGTGCATACATACCTCGTGACTCGTGAAATGCCATGCACAGCAGTGGCTTCTCCCAAGTCAGTACTGGTCAAACCTTGGGCTCCAGCTCTCAGTCACTGCTGTGCCTACAGTGGTGCACCACAGTCCTGTGGGACATGGGGGATGGCCAGTGACAATGTCCATGATTAAAGGGACATACATAGGGCAGTGTTTACCACAATTTGTGATAGAGTATCATGCATAAATGTTGTAGTATAGGAACATGTCTGTGTTTTTTGTATGTCTGGTAGTCTGTCTGTATACATGAGTGACTGTTGACCTAAACTGTGTGCAAATTGTTGTTCCTTGTTTGTACACTGTACTGCACACTGGGAAGACCCTGTATAAATCATCTGCCAGCCCGGCAGTGGCTCCAATGAGGCTCCATGAAGGGTACAAGTGAAAAGCAATGGCTAATTAACAACCGGACATAATCTTCCGTACTCTTGAGTAAACATGTGCCCCTATATGGGATGACCACAGTTCCGGAAGGGTGCAGCATTAAGACCCCTCATTAGTCAGCAAGATGCAGAAAGGTGTTTTGGAGCCAGTGATGAAATACACATTGATCCATCATTGCACAGCCCTAAGACCATACACATGGTTAAGACAAGTCCAATATGCAGTGCTTCCATGGTTGTGGCAGCACAGGCCTGGGAAGTATTCACTACATCAGGAAATGAAGATACCAATGCAAAGAGCACACAATTTGGGTTCTAATGAGCTACAACATCAATTTATGCCATTCTAGGCAAGTGCTACACACCACACCCCATCCCCCCACTTGTTCTGTATTTTTAGCTTTTCCCCTGAAATTTCTGCAGCCCACCCAGCCCCATTGACTGGTGCTATTGATAGTCACAGAGTGGCCACCATTGGGTCCAGGATTATGTTCTGATTTTATTTTCCCAAAAGTTTTCAGCCACCCATCCATATGTTCTTCCTGAATTCTGTGTTTTTCCCACATTCTCATATGCTTTTCTCTCACGAGCTCATGCCCCTTTTGGGCTCAGTCCTACATGGACCACTGAGACCCGCCCTGGACAGGCTGCAGCCCAGGACACTGTTTTCTCTAATGTGCTCATACTATAATACACTGGGCAGTAATCACTGCTATACATTGTTAAAGGGCTAGAACATAAGGTGTGTCAGTGGCTTCATAAGGAAGGATTGTGGTGGCCAGTGATATGCCCCAATGCTCTCTGACCTCCAAAAATTTGGGTTCAGCCTCATGTATGACTTCTCAGAGAGCCTATCTGACAGCAGGTTTCTCTGGACTATCAGTTCATGTGCTAGGGGAAAACAACACCTTTAGATGCTACTATGACATCTGGCGAGGACTTTGAGAAACTTCAGTCGGGCCCGCTATTGATCACTGACTCTGACTTTACCACTTTGATTGATTTGATCACTGCAGCCAATGATCTGGTACTACCGCTCTATCAACACCTGCTTGCCTACCTGCATACTGTACCTGAACCATTGATGTGGGTTTGCACCGTGACACGGGTTCAATACCATCAGGAAAAGCCCATTTTGATTACCAAACCCAAAAATAACTTTTTTAGATCTGATCTACTTCAATGATCTGAGGTGACATCAAAGAACTGTGAATGACAGAGAAGCACTTTTTACACTTTATCTATCTTAAAAAGTACTATGCATGTGACTTGAACATCAAAGAGACTAGCAACGCCACAGCATAACCTCAACCCTTGGGGAATCAGTGAGCAATCTCAAGATGGTTGTTTAAAATATATCTAATTACGTTGCAGTTAGCACCTTGGCTTTCATAACTTGCTGAGTCTTGAGATCCAACTCGATGTCCACCATATATATGTCCTGTGTTCAACAGACCCACAGGCAGTCAGACACCCGGAAGTCAATCTTGCGGATTAGGTGAGTACTTACGCGCATCTCTCTCCAGTTCTGCCCCACAAGTCTAACCTTGGACACCCAACCCCTGTACAGGTTTCCCTGCAGCAAACTGCCCTCCCAGAAAGCGATAAGGTTGCCTTCCTCCAAGATATCCACCCCTATGGATCTCACATCATGGACATCGTCTCTTGCAGCTCTGAAATAAGGTATGGTATTCACCAGGGATGATGACTGACGTTTGTGTCTGGAGACATTGACCCTTGAGATGAACCTGTCCATAGGGACTGTAGGTTGAGGAGACAACGAGAAAGACGCTGGAGGTATACATAAGATACATGGATACGAAGTCCTCTACTACCATATAGTCTGATAGGCATATAAACTAGCCCAATTATTTACAAAGAAGGATGGACATTCATCTAGAACTCTGAGGACCAGTCTCTCGACACGTCATGTCTTCCAAACTTTGGGATCAGTTGGCAACTCTGCCTAATCTCACTGATACGAACAATCTCTCATGGATATGTACCATCTGCCCTCAGCAGTAACCAAGACACCTCATACATCATGTGAGATTGATGTGCAGCTGGTTCAAGAGGGGAATACCACTCCACATAGGCAAGCATCTCTGTGTGCCAACCTTTAGGTGTCAGGATACTCTGAGCTCCAATTTGTAGTAGATGTGGAATTTTGAAGAGGACCTTGATCCTCCCTATATGAGTACCTGTATTGTGTTTATGTGAATTGTAATAAGAAGAGTGCGAAAATCATGCCTTCTAATCCAGTGGATTCCACACGCTCATCCCTGAGGATAACAGCGGTGTCAAATCTTCCAGAAACATGGGCATGAGGATGCCCTGGCTGGGCTTTGATAGCATCTCTCACTTCCACGTAAACTGGTTGGGGTGAATTTGACATTGTGGTATATGTCTATATGAGTGAATGGTAGCAGGATGTTGGCTGCCCCCCGATGACCACCGTCTGAAGGTATATCTGGGAACAGATCCCACACAAATTTCTTCAGCCCACATACAAAACCAGATGCTTTGTGCCTCCTAGCCACTTCTTCGATGAGTTGTCTGGGTGCTGGGGGATATTTGGCCACAGAGTAAGGGATTCCAACCTTGTTTTTGGATGCCTTCCTGCCTAGCGATTTTTTGAGGTCCTTGGACGTTCGCCAGGATATGTAGCTGTCGAAGGACAGGATCTTGTCCTGCCTCTCTATCCAATGCACCATCTGAGGTCGCTCATCTCTATGATTAGATGCCCTCCAGCCTTCCTTCGCAAAGTCTATATGAAGACGTTTGAATATCTCTGTGTTGTAATTGTCTGTAGTTCCAAACAACTTGATCGCCTCAATGTAGTGTAGCAGGGAGTGGAACTTGGGAATGTTGAAGTCAGCACATAAGCCGATGATATGCACTGACACACAACAATCACCAAGGACCAAAGGAAATAAACCTAAACCCCGTGATATGGGTGAAGGCGGTCCGAGACAACTGAGGGGTATTTCAATAGTTCGAGGGGGAAAGGAGGAGTAAGACGCCGTAGGGTAGTCCATAGGAAGACCTGGAAAAATAAAACAAAACCTTGACGCCTGAAACAAACACTAATGGACGCTCCGGAGTATTTATCTCCAAAACGGCGCAAGCAAAGTCACAAACCACGGAACCGAATGTAGGTTTGGGCTCACGGGAGTAGAAGACGCTAGAAAGAGTTGCTTAATTTTGTTTCGCTATGTGAGCCTCACCGGAACTAGTTAAATCGATGGCGGAGATATTTCTCTCGACGAGTCAGGCCTATTGGCAAAGCTAGGATCGGTTATAAGTTGCTAAGTTCGACGCTTTCGAACTTCTCGGGTCGCTGAGATCGTAACGTTAATTCTCTGAGATGGTGAAGTCGAAAACTTGTTTTTCTGTATGCTACTTTGTACAATTTATACTACAGGAATGGCTTTGCGACCGTCCGGAGATAAATAACAAATAAACGCCGCTACCCACAGGATTGCTCAGCACTTTCCTCCGCTATACCATACACCATACGACTCTCTTGCGCTCCCACTTGCTCTTTCCAGCCCCTATAGGTCGCCTCGATGCTCCGCCACCTGACCCAAGCAGTCCCATCACTCCATGCGACACGCCGATCACGTGCTAATTACCTCCGGCCGCTTGCTGACTGATGCTGACCTCATGGTGACTCGTATGCGTCCGCACCTTCGCTATCTTGATGGACACGAGGGGGGAGTGAGTGCTGGAGCCCAGTCAAAACCGGTGATTTTGCCCCCGTTTGTAGCCCTTTGTAGTAGTTTATGCCCTTTCTGTCCCTTTCCGTTCCAATAAATGGCAGATTGTCCTCCAGAGCACTGCCACATGTCCCGATTTGAACAACGTGTCAACATTGCAAGTCAGGTTGATCGAGCGAGAAGTATGGAGTCGACACCACGGTTCTGCTGCATGCCAGCAGGCCCAGCACAACGCCGGGCTCCAATACGCCGCAATCCACAGTCTCGCGTCCTGGGGCTACACTTAGTGGAATACCTATGAAGACTCCGATGTAAGTTTTTAGGTATTCCACTAAGTCTGCTCCGTGTCCCGCACATATGCTGCGGATACAGCATATGTGCAGCATTGTCCACCCCAACGACATGCGAACAATTC